CGTAGAGCAGGTAAAATGGACTATTTGTCGTTGTTTCGTGCTGTGCAGTGTTGTAGGCGAAGGTTATAAATGGCATGATCGGATCCCATGTTAGGTTTCCGGAATCAACATACATGGAAATTATGTTGACGAGAGTCATATTAGTTCGTTCCGTCAAACCATTATACTGCGATTGACACAGAGTAGTGTGACGAAAATGACACGAAGCAAGCCTCTATGACCACGCAAGTCGTACGCTAAGAACTTGGACGACGTGATGCTGTCAACCCGCCGAGGCCACATGCTATAAACGCCTCCCCGCCATACGAAGCAGTGTGTGCTTCAGTTCATGCCATGCTATATGATGTGCCCTGATCCAGAGCACCAGAGCCCCCAACCAACAACCTAGATCATCGCCGCGGTTTCTAGAACACCTCCCGCCAACCACCTACAATGGTGTCTTTGTGGGACAATCATGGGTACGTGCCGGCTCGTGCTAAGTATGGCGACGTGCGCGAGGGCCATGTGTGCTATAACTGCGGTTTCCGTGGACACGTGGCTCGATTCTGTGGTTAGAGGCGTCGCCCCCAGCAGCGATACTATGAGGGATCATCAGCGTCTTCTCGATAAACCGCTTGCGCGGTGGTATGCGCTCGATGCGAGACGCGTACGTTCGGGATGGCTTCCAGCAAACCACTCACAGTGATACACATGTGGGACGCATTTTCCACCAGAATTTTCGCAACTACTCGCCTTCCTCCGCGCGAAGCTTGATGCCCTCTGCAACACGCCGGTACCGTTCTCCATCTTCTGGTCGATGCGTCACCTCCTAGCCTCCGGGAAACTAGGTGGTGCGGACAATTGAGGCGAGGTCGCCGAACATTTTTCAATACACCAACCTATGCCTCTACCTGTTTTTATGACGCAAGATAAGGTGCCCGTGCTTATGATGGACCTCCTACGATGGCTTTGATAGATGCTGGAGCAACTGTTTCGGTGATGAGTTTTAACTTCAATTGAGGCTAGGACATAAAGTGATGTTTCGCTGGGACAGTTGTGCATCATTTCGTCAAGTGAGCGGGGATACGCTGTGCCCGATCGGTGTGTGTGTTGTTAGTGTCACTTTGGGCGACAAGGTCTTCGAGGCTGAATTCGCTGTCCTGACAAGTTCCATCCATGACATCATCTTGGGGATCGTTTTCTACGCGAGTGCGGTGAAAATGTAGATTGCGGTGCTGGCGAGATTATGCCATCGGCATTTATTCACGATCCCAGGCGCTGTCAAGGATATATCACCATCATCGAGGATGTTGTCTCGCCGACCAACTCGATGAAAAAAGTACGCGTTGACAACTCTGCCTTGGACGCCGGCACGTTTGATGTTCTTGTGGAGCCCATTCCTCTGAATTGCGCCAAGAAAAATGTGCTCTTTCTACATCGTGTTCTGTCAATCACTGATAGGCGATCGGTCTTATGGGTGTCGAACTATTGAAATGAACCTTCCATTCTACCATGTGGATTGCGACTCGCCCTCTTGGAACAAAATGCGAACAGTTTTATTGCATATTTAAGTGGCGAGAGCGTACATTTTATTCATGCAGCGCACTATACAGAAGCCAACTTTCTGAGTATGGTAAACAAGTCGCTATCATCAGAAAAAACGTCAAGCATTGGTCGAAGTCCTTGCGAAGCACGCTAGTATATATGACTTTGCGCAGAATGAAGAAAATAAGTGTACCCGAGTCACGTACTCGCCACGGGATCGCCAGAGGATCCGCCCAGTCTATCCGGCAGAAACCATATCGTGTCTCGTGCGTGGAGCGCCAGGTCATTGCTCAACAGGTAGAAGAGATGTTAAAAGAAAGGGTCATCCAAGAGTCGTGTAGCCCTTGGGTTGCCCCTGTTATTCTTGTCCGAAAGAAGGATGGTACATGGCGATTCTGTGTGGACTACAAACGGCTCCACTCTGTTACTAAAAAAGATGTCTACCAGCTTTCCAGAATTGATGACGTCATTGATTATTTAGATTCAGCATTGTACTTCTCCTCCGTGGATTTGAGATCTAGTTATCGGCAAATCACCATGCACTCGAATGAGAAAGAGAAAACGGCCTTCATAACCCCAGATGACCTATTTGAATTCAATGTAATGCTTTTGGCCTATGCAATGCTCCAGCCACGTTTGAGCGCTTCATGTACCCTATATTACGTGGGCTAAAGTGCGAAGTTTGTCTTTGCTAGATGAATGACAATATAATTTTTGGCCGTACATTCGATGACCACAACCATTGTCTAGACATTGTTTTCGGCTGCCTTGAGAGAGCTAAGCTTACCCTGAACTCTATGAAGCGTCACTTCGGCAGCGTGAGACTCTCGTTCTCGGTCTCCTGGTGGACAAGCATGACGTTCGCCCCGACCACCAGATTGTCGCTGCAGTCAGCAGCTTCAAACAACTTCGTTGTCCTTTTCTTCCACGCATCCCCTCAGGATCATAGCAATATTATGCTTTGGTAGAAGTACTGCAGATATCAAGTTGACGCAAAGTGATTACGGTTACTATGCTAGCTATAAATCTTTTACAAAAAAATAAACATGCCATATGAGCTCCGGCTCTACAGGTTCACGTAATGTCCGGTTAACATCAGTTGTTGCTTCAGTATTGCACCGCAAGGGGCCTTCAAGGACAATTGTCACAGCAGAAATTTGGAAAATGTTTTACTATAGAAAGCATTCCCTGGTAACATTTTCATTTCCCGTAACAATACCATTGAGTGATTACGTCACCTTAGTTGCTGGTTTCCCACGCAAGCAGGCGACACTGACCTGTCAAAACGGGTGTGGCTCAGCCCCCCAAGTTTTCTCAGTGGAGGGGGTTGCGCCCCCACCCTTTGCCCTCCCGGTTGATGCTCTACGTACACACTGACGGTTTTATCAAGTGCCTCAGCCGAACTCTAAGGGTTCCATGTACACTCTTAGAACGAAGAGAATCGATTGAGTCCCTTTGCGAGAGTTTTGGTTTGTCCCAGTGGTCCCTACCTATTCAGGGTGAAACAACCTTATTCAGCGAGAGGGTGATCCAACACTCTCTCATGAAGTACAGTATTCTGTACATGATTGAGTGAAGGCACTCTGTCGAGTGAGTAAAAGATGCACATTAAAACAGCTTTGCTACAAAATAATCAAGCAATAAACAGATAATGTACACATCCACGGAAACAAAACACACAGACCGCTCTCAATCAGCATGCAGATTGAAACATAATCTTCTCTCTTTAATGGGGAGAGTGGTCAATGCAGGGGTGATGTTTGGAAGCGTTTGCTTCGAACATCACGCCTGAATGGAAGCGTCCAATGGTATCGTAGTTACGTGAGCCTTGAGCTAGTAGACTTAGCGAAACCCTTGCTTCTAATCTGGCCAAGAGTTCTGTCCAGGCAGTTGAATGGCGTTTCGTATGCAGCTGGACGTTTTTACGTGCTCGTCATTTCATCTCGTATGCGTGTAATAATTTCCGTTCATGCTTATGGTAGTGTCTGCGTCTGCGTTGCTTGAAGTCCTTCTTTCGCTTGGGTAACTAACGACCTACGTGAGTGATAACAGTAAGCACAACAGACGGTTTGTTGATTTGTTTACTTCCGCTTTGCTGAGAGCCTTCTGATCACTAGTGTAGACAGCGAACGGAAAACGCGGTGGAGTCAGTAATTTTTATTATATATCACACTACGATGGCGTTTTGGCTTTTAATTGTAGAACATGATTGCTGGAAACACCTCTTGAAAATTATCGTGGTGCCTGTTCTGTATTTCAAAGCCTCGGCACTAAATAATTTATAGGAGAGATTTTTTCTTCTGGAAATCATATCATTGAAGCCGCCTCTGACTTTGGCTATGTTCTGTCTTGAAAACGACCGTGGGTTCCCTAAACCTCCGAGAAAGTGTCGTGAAGAAGCCGAATATTTTACTCTGCTGATTTTACGAGAACCAGTGCAACAAAGTGGTAGACATGCTCAAGATGATTGCAGTCATCGCGGATACATCTTGTAAGAACTCCGTAAATAAAATATCCGCTATTGTTGCAACACTAGTATGCATGAACGCTGGAACCTAGTTATCTCAGTTTTGCGGAAGGAGAGCGGTGCGGCCGTATAATAAACAAGTTTGATTTTTGTAGAACCGCTTTCTAGTATAAATGCAAAAGCGGTTTTTCTGATTCTGTCTCATCCTGAAAAGACAAACATGATAATGTATATATATTCGTAAATGAACAAAGCAGAAATTGTGAATAGGAAGTCGAACCTTTATTACATGTGGCTAATGAATAGCAACGTAGCAAACACAAGAGTGCAACTGCAAAGTGTCCATCAATCAAGCATAAGTAGCTGACACACTGTCAACATAAAGTTCGAGCTCGCAGGACATCGTAAATAAGATCAAGGGAGTAGACACCGTAGCGTGTCTTTAGTGCTGCTGCACGCATTCAGCGCAGATTTAGTCCATTGTATATAGTCGTGCAAACTCTGCAATGCATTGCCCCACCACGGTAGTCTAGTGGCTATACCTGTGTCACACGGGCGCGCAAAGAGTCTTTTAAGTAAGCGGTCTTTTACGAAGTTGAAAGACTTTTAACAAAGAGGTGTTTGCGGCGCAGACACACGGCAGCAACGATCTCTTTCTAGTGTTTTCGTTCGAAGACGCTAGCGAAAGCGTGGCGCTAGCAGTTGAAAGAGAAGCAATGAAAATTAAACGATGTATCACGATGTACAAATTAGAGACTTGTTGCACTGCTCGTTTCTTCAAATAAATTTAAGAATAAGAGATGAAGAAACACCAATGTGAAAGTGTTTTGCACTAGATAAGAAAGCATTCCCATAACTAGCGACGTGCGCAAGTCCGTCTGGCACCACTGGGCTTTTATTTACCGTATTTGTTTTTCGCTGCTCTCGACACGTTATGGGCGACCTTACGGTCACATTTCGTTTCATTGTGGAGAGCTTGCGCAGTGAGCTTGAAAGACAGTGCACCGGCATGCGTGAAGCCATCACTCCTGAGAAGCGAGTCGGCATTGCCCTATACAAGCTGTGCTCGTCAGCAGAAGATAGGACTGTGGCCAACCTCTTCGCCGTTGGACGCTCGACAGTAAACACCTTATACAGGCAGTTTTGCGAGGCTGTTGTCACTGTACTGGAACACGAGTGGATCAAAATGGTGACCACAGAGGAAATGGCGAGGCACATTCAGGAATTCGAGGCCGTCACCGGTTTCCGCCAAGGCGTCGGAGCCTTGGATGGATGCCACTTTCCGATCTCGCCACCTAAGGAGCATGCCACAGACTACTACAACTACAAAGGCTGGTAAGTGGCCTAATACAACTTCTTAATGTAAAAAAGCATGATTTGTACCGTATAATAATGTGCCTTGAAAACAGCACTATTCAACCTTTTCGTTACGCTATATAGTTCACTCCTAGCTCTGCCACAAGGGCAAGTCCACATCGCAATAAATAAAAAAAAGCGATGCCAAGTGCTTTCCTCAACGCACAATTTGGTTCCTACCATCTCGCATCACTTACAGGCACTAGAGCAAGCCAAGCAACGCAGTTTTCACGTAAGCATTTTAATGCAACAGCATGAAGGTGCCAGATTGCATTTGCAATGATAATTCCGACATGCTCATAACGGCCGCAGAAAGCAGCAGCTCATCTGCAGAAACTTAATGTCTATTACCTACTATTTGAGATATATGACAAGGCTGCAAGAAAAAAAAACATCCCTGGCTACATTAATGACCACAGAAAGCAGCAGATTCTTAGCTGTACACAAATATACATGCTTTTGTGATAGTACTTTAAGGTAGCTGCACCACTGTAACGACTACAAAAACACACGCACACACATTGGTGTCCATTGCACTTCGCTGCATTCACCTTACGTGCCACGCTCTTTGTTTTTTGCAGGTATAGTATCATCTTGCTGGCACTTGTGGATCACAGATACCGCTTCAGGTATATCAACGTTGGAGCACCTGGACGCTGCCATGACTCGCACGTGTTTGGGTATTCGCAAATCTCCAATGCTATTAAGGGTCCCCTTTTTAAAGCTCCACTTGCCACCATAGCCGAGACAGTAGTACCACCACTAATTCTGTGTGACCAAGCATTTTCATTGGCACCCAGCCTGATGAAGCTGTTTGGACACCGCGGGAAGATTAGTGAAAGCGAAAAAAAGTTCAACTATCGTTTAAGTTCAGCCAGGAGAATTGTTGAGAATGCATTTGGAAGGCTTGAGGCCAGGTTCCGCTTCACTGCAAAAAGGATGGGGTGCCATATAGCAATGCTCGCTTAGTATACGGGCATGCTGCGTGCTAAGCAACATTTGTGAGCACTTCAATGACAATGTCCACCCGCAGTGTTTAAATGAGGTGCAGCAGTCAGACGTTGACTTCCCGCAGCCGTCATGCACAACAGAAGCTCTAGTTGGAAACGCAGCAGACATAAGGGCCACGCTTGTGGACTACTACAGTCAAGTGAACTAAAACGCAACAATCACAAGAATCGCCGGAATGAGTACAGGAAATCGCATAACTTTTTATAAAAAATCAACCATTGCATCCACAAGTTTCTCCTGCAGCTTTAATGCTTTGTTCCAATCTCCATCTCCTCTTTATGGGTGGCTTCAAATTGCCCTCAAGAGACGCTGCTCATTCAGCATCTTCTCCTTCATTTCGGCACCTGTGTATTTTCTCCGTTTTCTGCGGGCGCCATCTCCACTGTCGCTTGGGCTGTTTCTGCGCCCGGTGACACAGTCTGGATGTTGCTTGGCTGCTGAGGTGCTGATGAAGCCTGTGCGAACTCGGGTGCATCTACTCTCGTATCGTCACTGGACGATCCGGCCACCATGCCAGAGATGAGCTGCATTTCAAAAAATGACAGAAATGCGGTGATTGCACATTTTCACATGTGAAATAGCCATTAACAACTGCGTGCTATACGTCTGAGTGATGGAAATGTCACATAGAGAAGGAAATGTCAACAAGAGCGCTTTCTGTGTTACAATGCTGACTCCCAAACGAATCGCTTAACTATTACGTTTACCCTAAGGACTGGTGTAATGGTTCCAAAAGCTCTGTGATGCCGAAATGGCAATGTGAGTGTAGATGTATTTCAGCCACTGCAGTCTTTGTCCCATAATGTACTCTTATGACTGTTCCTGTTATATTTGTTCTGGTTTGTGCCACCATGTCATGTTAAATCGTACTTTATTGTGGTGACGTGGCTGATTAAACGCAAAAGAAAATGCTTTCTGAAAATTTATTTCTTTGTTGGTTTATTTAAAACACTACAGCGACAATATCTCGGAAAACATGGCTAAAGGCAAACATGAAGCACCAACGTGGTGCACACTGTGCTACACTGGTACAAAGAGTGGGTTACAGCTTCAAAAAACAAAAAGCCACTGCCATTGCACTTAACGCTGCTACTTGCTTGCAATAAAGAATGTAGCTGCCACTAGAAGTTACTTACTTCCTCAACTGAGGGACTGCTGCTTGCTGGGCTCGAGCTGATCCCAGCCTCCTCCATTAAAGAGGGGTCGTTTACGGGCAGGCTTCTAAGAAATCTATGGATCTCTACAAAAAAAGGTCCAGTTTGGTGGGGACGAGCCCGTTGTCTTTTCTTTAAGGCATTTCCTGAAGAATACGAGAATAAATGATTAAACAGATGTTACAAGACTGACAACTGCGCGCTAAAAGACCACTGGTACATGCAAAATGTACAATCGCGCGGCGAAAAGCAAAAAGAAGCGAATTGTTAAACCTGCGCCACATCAAGCGCGCGTTTCCTTCTTGTTACATGACAGGTTTGCGCGCTTAACAAGCAACAAAGACGCGTTTCTTGACGTTTGTACTTAAACATGTGTAACTGCAACATCGCGTCAATGTAAAGCAATTTCACAGCAAATCACCGAAAAGAAACTTTGTGTGCGGCTAAAACGCGCGATAAGCATGCTTCCAAACCTGGCCATTCACTTGGCGTTCAGCGTTTTGCCTACGGTGGGGCGTCGTTTCGAAAAGATTGTTCGGACGTTTCCCACGCCAAATGCGCTTCACCTGTTTGCGAAAACATTCTGCTGCTCAAATCGCCAGTAAATTTACTGGAAGCATTCGATAACATACCTGCAATACAATTTAAAAAAATCATTTTTTCCCATGATCGCTGTTGTCGTTCCACTTCCCTCCTCACGCTTACAGGCCGCTAAGACGCGTCAAGCTTACTCAAATAATTTGCCTCACCTGTAGGTGTGTGTCAGATTTTCTATTTTTGTGTGCACTTGGACCCTCGTGCGGGAGACACCGCACTTGTGTGCGCAGCCGCGATGCTGGTGTACACCTTGCCGTTGTGCTTCTGCGCTCGCAACGAGTGCAGGTTGTCCTCCCACAGTCTGATTAGGCTCCACGTGTCTGCTTCTGACCATTGCAGACGCTGCCTTTTCCGTGGGGCGCCGGCTGCTTGATCTGCGGAGTTGGCCATAGACGCTTCGACTCGGACCACTTGAATGACGGGCAAACACACGACTGCCACGCTTTCCTCGCTTGTGCAAAATGGCGTGGCGCGAGACCGAGCGTCAACACGTGATATTGCCGACGCATTGTAGCTGCTTACGAGAGAGAAAAGGAAATAACCATTAAAAGAGTTCATTACACCTTCTGCAGGATATGAAATTCGTTTTTACAAAGAGTTTTGGTGACAGAAAAATAAGCATTCGCTCTTTTTTTTCCACCACTCGACAATTGCTGGCGCCCACTGGTTTGCCCGTGTGACAGGGGTATAAGGTACTCGGCTCTTAACCCGCAGGTCGCAGGATCAAATCCCGGCTGTGGCGGCTGCAATTCCGATGGAGGCGGAAATGTTGTAGGCCCGTTTACTCTGATTTGGGTGCACGTTAAAGAACTCCAGGTGGTCAAAATTTCCGGAGCCCTCCACTACAGCGTCTCTCATAATCAAATAGTGGTTTTGCGACGTTAAACCCCACAAATCAATCAAATCTGCAATGCATTTCTCTGTGATCTTCTGTCGGAAGCCTGGCTCCTGCACAAAAGAGACAACAAATATTGTTAGAAAAACGTGATATCTAGGACACCAAATCCGCATTTTTCCCTACTTCTCGTGACACACACATTCATCAATATCTCTTGCGTTAAAAAACAGACATGGTTGTGTTATTGAGCTTGGATATTTTGATATAGGCTTCGCTCAGGCATTTGGTCAACTGACCAGGCATATGACTATGTAATTTAATGAAATCTGATTTCACGAATCAGTGGCGTAGCCGACAATACCTCTTTGGGGGGAGGGGGGTTAAACCATGAAAAGACAACCTTATAATGCATCTGCTAATTTTATTATTCATAGAGATGCGATTTTAAACGACACTTCATGCATTCTTGCGTACATGCACGTTTCACAAAGCACGAACCTCTGCTTGATTCCTTACGCTAGGTTTGGTTGTTCATTGGTATTGTGAGCTGCATAGACACTTTTTATTGAAGCAATGTTTCACGCGTAGTAGAAACAACAGCACACTCATTGGGCACAGTTGCATTGTGTTTTGTTTTTCCTGAACGGTCTCTGATAGTGATCTGACCTGAGCAGGGGGGGGGAATGAAAAACAAAGAAAACAGGAGAGCTTACCTTCTCGTTGATAGAGACGATCATCTGACGAAGATATGCTTCGCCGTATATTTTGGCTTGGGTAGCAAAGATTCACCGGAGAGGAAGCCGCAAAGGAGTACGGTGAATGCAGCACATCAAAAGTTTGCTGTTATGTTTTCTCTCCGCTTGTTTGTCAAGCTTTCGCGCCACAATTGAACTGATGGGGTGTGCGAGCTTCATCAAAACACTTGAAAGCACTAGCGTCCGCAGTGAATCTTGGAGCACTCACGACGAGCGTAGGCCCACTCGTCGTGCGACGAGAGTGCGTACGAGAAACGTATCGAGAAACGCCGGCAAAGCGAGACGCGGTCTGCCATGGACGCGATGTTGGCGCAAAAACTTCACCCGAGGAATGATTCAAGGTAGCTTGATCGCTTCCTTGTCAATCTCGAGGAAACGCTCAAGATTTTCGCAAGTGAAGGAAGCGTTTCAAGTGAAGGTTGGGTTGTCCACTCAAGGAGCATTTCCAGTGAAGGGTCGAGTCGAGCAGCGTTTGTGAATACTTCGAGCAGCGTTGTGATAGTCGAGCAGCGTTTGTGAATGTGATTAGTGCCACCAAAAATCACAATCGATTTAGATGCGGACAGAATGGACGGTAGGCTTGCACATTTTATTTGAAGCCAAGTAGCCACTTCTCGCAAGAGGGAAGACAGCCCCACTACAGACACCTATGCAAATAATGGCAGCATATCCACAGAGTGAATTATTGAGAGTGGCGCGAAGCATCCGTCCGTCCATTCGTTCTTGCTTCCGTCCGTCCATGCGTGCGTCTGTGGGGCCGCCCTTGCGTCCATCCGCCCGTCCGTGCGTGCGTCTGTTCATGCGTCCGCACGTCCATCTGTGCGTCTGTCCCTGTGTTCGTCCGTGCATCCGCTCCTGCGTCCGTCCGTGCAGCCATCTGAGCGTTCGTCCATGCATCTGTCTGTGTGTCGGCTCGTCCACCTATTCAACGCTCCAAGTACCACCATCTCGCATCTTTTCATCATATATTCCTCATATAGAAGCACCACCATCCAGCGGACATTGCAAGGACTGAACGAGAGGAGGCACACGCACACTTTCGTACGGCTTGCGCTTCGTGTCTATTTCCCACCTTTAACCACCTCGAGTTCGTGATATATACTAGTTCATTGTATTCATGGCACTGCGGCCCAACGCTCGCTAAACCTTTCTAAAACCGAGGAGGTTACGCCCAGCGAGTATAACGTAGCAACCCTTTCTTGTCAGATAGTACTCAATGTACATGCCAATGGCTGCAAAGGGGGAATGAGAGATAGGAGAATTTGGCTTTTAGTTAACGCGCACGCTGCGATTTTTTTATTGTTCAACAACGCACAGAAGAAATTTCCCACCGGCACCACCTTCGAGGTCAAAATGTAAGACTGGTTACACACTATGACACGACTACGAGGGACGAACGAGTTCCGCTATAAAAACCTTTGCCCCTAAAAAATATCCGACATCAACAAAACAGTAGAGGGTCATTGTAAGGTCCTATGAAAGCAGAAATTGGATGAGCTTGATGGCTTTATGGAGGGTCAGCTGAAAACCGGTAAAGGCGGGAGACTTTCCAAAGACCTACTGCACAATGGTACCACCAAATCTAATCAGCGTAGAGCGTTGGTGAAAGCTGTTCATTCAGCCACGGATTTGACTCCATATGAGATGATAACAGAAGAACTCAAAAACAAGTGCCTGACCGCCACGGGCGACGCGGTTCTCCCTCAGTTTTCATGCTATGACGGGCTCTACGGGTGTTTGATGAACGACGACTTCAATGTGGCCGAAGTTAAATAGGTTCTCGCATCACTCAGCGGGAGATATA